AGCTCTGTACGACTAATTAGCCCCTCTCTTGCCATTGATGGCCTCTGGCACCCAGCCTGATGGCAGTCATATCCATGAGCTGGGTCACGGCTGAGCCTCCCCCATCCATTGCACACACTGATGCCACAGACACCAAACTGTGTAGGTACTGGCCACTACAGATCAGTGATTTCACTGGGGTGTTTTAATTTGGCTATGTATCGACTGCAGCTCTGGCCAACAAGATTTTAACCTACAACCGAGTACTTCTTTTCTAGCCAGGCATGTTTATATGCACTGCTCAGCCTAGGGCAGCCAACCCTGTGAGGCAGCACTACCAAGGCACCACCACAGGAGGAGCCTGCCCTCAGCAGGTCCTCAGCATTTACATCCTCCTCCACTGTGGGCTGGCAGGACTTCTGAGCACAGTTCTTATCCTAGGCACTTACCAGGGACATACATGTAATGCCCGTTTTTTGTACAGCTATTATATACCTACAGGTTGGAACAGTAACCTCTAATAGCCTTAACATCCACAGCTAGCCAGTTCACCTACTTTTTCTTTACTGTAAGTCATCATCCATACCATAATATCCCCTGATGGGGAATGTCCAAAAAGAGAATGACAATCATTACTCTGGATGCATTATTTTTAAACATACAGATATCATATAAATACATGAGAGAAATGTAAACCATATCACCTTATATATACGCACAGAATTGTATTTTTAAACAAATTACAGGGAGACTAAAAAAATCACTCAGCCTAAGAATCAACACACACACTTTATATGCCCTCACCCACACCCCAAAATGTTAGTGTATACTGAGGCAGCGAAATACAGGCTCAGAAGTATGTAATTTTTAAGATACTGAGGTACATTTCAACTTCCTTTCAACACCAAGCCAGAACCACACCTCCCCTCCTGCTACCCTGATGCTCACCTTGCTTTACTGCCCACACAAATTAGGTCTGGGAAAATAATCTTCTTTCTCCTGCTGGTGAGAGTACATCACTCCGCTAATCAAATCCTGTCACTGTGTTATACCCACCTTTACTTTTGAGCACTTCTGAAGAATAGGTCATTTATATTTAGGCGCTTAAGTGCAGCCTCTAATGGCTAAAATTACAGAACCTGCTTTATAACAACTGGGGTCAGCTTTCAATGACCAAAATAATTTAAAAATTGTGTTTTGCTATTTATACTTCACTACTTTGTGTATTTTTTCTTCCAGCACTAGATTATGAGAAATCAATACAATCTGTTTCATTCAGGGGACACTACCAGGCTTTCAATGCTCCAGTGTTTGGGTTTGTAGACACTGTAGAGAGATCTAACCTTGCTAAAAACTCCAAAATCTGCATTTCTTATTATATTTGTGTCAACAGCATGACCTTAAGATGGCCAAAATACCAGTGACGTGATAGAAAAGAAGTCTTCTCAAGGGTATGGCTAACCTAAAATGCACAGACAACAGGTAAATTCAAAGCAACAGATAAACCTGCTAATATCAAAAGATCAATAAAAAGATGTAATTTTTAATGGGCATGTTTTTTCCAACAGGCTTTCAAGAGGGACAGTTTTTGTACTGCGCTATACATTACAGTTTCTCTATTTTTCTCTAGTTTACAAAGTCCTGTTAAAGGAAATGAACCAGGAGTTTTGAGAAGAAAGATCTGGGAATTTTCTCTTTACTCTGATACAAACCAGAGTTTTATACTGAAATGAAACATTTATGCATACACACAGAGCCACAGCTGTGGATGTTGCCTAAATATATATACATGTAAAACTTCAAAGCAAAAACACACTGAAAGTTCTACTGCAAAAGAGAGAAACAGGCTCCCTGATTCTCAAACTTTTCCTTCCATGGTTATCTAATTATTCTGATCTGTTGGCAAAATTAACTGATGCTTATCTTTCCCCTCTCCTACCCTCCTTTCTGCCTTATTGACAAAACCCATTGCTTCACTCCCCCATCACTTCTCTAAAAATACTGTCTCATGTTTTTCCTTCTTTACCTTCTCTAAGTTTCCTTTTCTCCTGCTCTCCTGTTAATATAGAATACACTGCCAAGTCTCATAGCTTAGACCTTCTATATAGACATCCCCACTCGAACCCAATCTCCATCTTCCTTGACCCTTTGCAGGTTTGCAAGTCATGGCGTGCTATTCAGGGAACACACACACACACACACACTCTTCACACCTTGGCTTCCCTCTAAATACACCACAGCTCTGTATATTGAAATCACCAGATTCAGAGTTCAGTAACTATTTCAGCTTGCAAAAGCAGCATTATGGCTCCTGATTTTTATGTTTATTTCCCCAAACTCTCTGAATTACAATGCAGCAGTACCACCACATTGTTAGTTACATTATGCAGACAAACAGAAAGGTTGTATGCAAGGGACCAGCTGAAGGAGGACACTGGATAATGCAGGGTATCCTTTCAGTAAACACCTGGAACCATAATGAAAAAAACCCCACCACACAAAACCTCTATGTTTATAAACTGCTAATACATTGTCCCTGATACCCAGACACTTCCTTGCCTTTGTGGAAGCTGTATGGAGACTTATTATCCAAGGGAATATTTCCACATGTTGGTATTTTTGAAGGGTTGTGGATTATTTACTGGAAAATACGTGGTGCTTTTATCTCAAAGATACATTTACGCCTTACAAGCTTTAATTACGTTTCAAAACCATACTTTGAGGTGAAGTATTTATATTTTAGATTGAAGATTCATGGTGTGGAGTAAGATAATTTACTTTAAGCCATATCATCAATCAGTGCCACTCTGGACTAACACTTTACAGTCCAGACTCTTCTTTTCTAATACTTCTTTAACCAACAGCACAGCCAGGTTACACGGTTCCCAATTCCTAGGCAGAAGTGTGAAATGTAATTTACACCTTTTCTGTGCAAGTGCCAAGAGACGTTTATGTCTGAGAAACTCAGCTCAAGAAAACAATGCAAAAAGATCTGTGCATCTTTTTTGATAAAGGTTTCCTTTCACAAAATGTTTTAGTGAAACACAGATCCTGAAACAACAAAATCATTATTCACCTTTCGGCTTTCATCACTGCTATGTTTTCAAGGAAGTCCTAGATCTCATTTTGCTTTCAGGAAGCCTAAACCCAGGAAATACCTCCACTGGAGTAGACTTCAATTGTGTACAGAGAATCTGCCCATAATCTGCTTCATGAACAGGGAAATTATTTTTGGACCTTATGCTGCTCTGGTGGAATTCCACAACCTGAGTAGGATTTGCTGGTACTTCAAGTCTCCACCAGCTAAGTGCAGAGAGAAGCAATTCAAGCAATTCATCCAGTGTCAAAAATCAAGACTGCATCTCTGAAATTCTCCAAGATGGAAAATAATCTGTCTTTTGTAGCAAAGTTCCACATTACAGTTTAACAGACAATAAAGGGAATGCCATGTAGGAGAACATAAAATAATCTGAATTCATCAGAACTCTAACTACTTTTAGGTGTGTTAAAAAGATCCAAGAGAAGCCCTCAAAAATCCAGTGTTGTTTTGTAGCCCATACTCAGGTACATGACCACTCCACAGCCAGTGCAGGACTAATTCAGAGCATGGTCTTGTGTGTACATTAGCCAAGTAAAATATTTCAAACTATGGGCTTCTTTCAGCACATCCCTCAGCAGATTGCATCCATAATCTCTTACTTGCAAGCATGCGTGTGAGTGAAGCAAAGTTCCCCTATCCAGCCAAGACAAGAACCTTATCAAAGACCTTCACTACAACCAAAACTGTGTTAGACTGGGTCCTTCCCTGAAGGTTTCATTGTCTAACACAAGATATAGCAATTTGGAAAAATTGAAATGGAGAAGAAGGGAAATACTCAATGGACAGAATCAGACACACTGACACCCCAACAGCTCACTAAAAAAGGAAACCAACTTCTTGGATAAATGTTGGCACGTGGAAGTTAAATAAAGTATTGGTGCTGAGAGTGATTTGTTGTGCAAGAAAATTAAAAAGAAAGGGGTAGCAAACGCATTCTTTATGTCATCTGGGAAACGAACATACACTCCATTAAACTTTCTAGGTTAAGGTAGCCAGTATGTAGAATACTGACAAAGACTGAACAGTATTCATCGAAAATGAAGTTTAAAAAGTGGAATATTAAAGTATGATGGTATCCTGTAGGGACAGACTGGTTCTCTGCCTCTTCTGTCATCACACGGCACACACATTTATCCCAGGGCTCTCTTCCCTGACCCATCTCCTGCAGCACAGAAGAAATCATTACAGACAAGAGGTACCGAGTTTCTCCTAGTATCTGTCAGCTTCAGCTTTTTTCTGCCAACCTCTCTTCCAGGAGAATGTTTAGCAAAATATCCTATCTCAGGCTACAAGAACCGAAAATACGAAACTGCTAATGATGTGCAATTGATGGGACATCAGAAGT